CCATTTTTGTCTAAAATGAATAGTTGCTAAGTTGTCGACGAGAAATCCAAGAAAAAAATGATTTTTTTTGTTATTTTTTAATACTTTTTTGTAATAACAATTAAGCCCACGTTTTTTTTTTATTTGCATAGAAAAATTATCATTTCTGATGTTATTTAGAAGCCGTTAAAGCAAAAGTCTCCGATCATATGCGTTTTACCCAAGTACACCTTTTGTAAGACAGATACCGCCTGGACTATTAGCTTTTTTACGAGCTTCCTAAGAACCTGTAGGTATTTCATTATATTGGACTCTTCCTTCAGAACTATTCATTAAAATTTAATAAAAAAATCTGTGTCGTCAGATAAATTGTTTTAACAAATAATACTTTATATATTTACATGGCAACTGAACCAGAAAGTAAATACATAGTCGAGGAAATGAAGCACTGAACCTCCGAAATCTGTGCAGTAAGATGGATTGTGATGCGGTTTTTTGCATTCGATTCATTAGAGCGTCCAGAAAGTTTGTGACCCTATGTGATCAATGAGAAATGAAAATTGCATCGGTGCATAAGAAAAATGCATTTTTAAAATTGCATCTCGAAGAGTTAAAAAATGAAAAATTTATAACTTGGAAAATATTGACGGAAATAAGTTCAATTTTGCTACTCGGGGGTTTTGCGGTCGCCGGACACGAATATCACGACGGCAACGATCTCCGAGGTACCTAGTGCCCAGGGTGGCCGGTTTCCACGTCATCTCCTGGAGTTTTGTGGAAATTCGTTATAAACTTAGCGGAAACTCGTTACCTCGGGGTTTTTGGGGTCGCTCAACACGAATATTACGACGGCAATGGTCTCCGAGGTACCTAGTGCCCAGGGTGGCCGGTTTCCACGTCATCTCCTGGAGTTTTGTGGAAATTTGTTATAAACTTAGCCGAAACTCGTTACCTCGGGACTTTGAGGTCGCTCAACACGAATATCGCGACGGTAACGGTCCTAGAGGTACCTAGTACCTAGGATGGCTGGTTTCTGTGACAACTATTTTATCCTTAATTAGTTTTTTTTATAAAAATACATTCATTCATTACAAAAAATACATGTTTTCAAAAAAATATTATACTTAGATATCTTTACAATTTTAATTTTTCTTATTACCCGTGTGCGCTATAACTTGGAGCGTATCCGTATACAGGGTGATTCAGAACTTATCCAAAAAAAAAGTTCTGGATGTACAGGGGACTCTTATAAATACAATTTTGTAAAGAAAAAATCAAAAAGGGCAGTTCGAAAATGATTTAAAAATACACTTCTGCACGGCACTGGAAACTGGTCCACTGTAAAACCTGACTTCGCACAATGCGACCGGCATGGCGGTGTGATAAAAAACAGACAAAAAACTTTCGCAAGGAAAGAAAAAATAAATAGAATTTTATAGCACCTATTTTATATCGGCAAATTCAACTGCTGCTTTTGCCTTTATTAATTAATAAAATTAATTTGTGTTTTTAAATAATAAAATCATTTGACATACCCGATGTTACAACAATTGTTCAAAATTTTATCCACGAATGTATAAACACATTTGGGTCCATTGTTACAGTTTCTAACGAACACCATAAATTAAAACGATATCCATCAACTCCGAGTACACGCAAACCATTTTTGACACTAACTACCCATTTCTGACACTCACTACTAAGAACCTTTTGTAAACACCACAGATAACAGGTAAATATCGCAACGAGTGATGATTGCAAAATCCAAATTCAGTATTTGGAGTCGTTGAGGCCACGTGGCGAATGACGCTAAAAACTACAGTTGTCCAGCTATGTAGTGGTTGAATGTACTATAACTTCAATATTTTTTTCTCGGAAACTATAAGGATTTTACAAAAAATTTTTTTACGATATTGATTCTATTTCTCATGCTGCATCTATTCCCAATTTTTTTTAGGATAAGTTGTGAATCACCCTGTATACTAGTATGTATAAGAGTATATACTAGTATATATGTAAGAGTAAAACGTGGAAGCAGCGGCCAGCTATCGCAGTCCTTACCTAAAATTTCATCAATACTACCAACTGTATTAAAAGCGCCAAATTAAAAAAAAAATGTTTCGGATAATTTATTTAGATATTTGATGAAGCTTACGACATCGGTACCTCGGAGACCATTACCGTTGTGATATTCGTGTTGAGGTACCCCAAAAACCTCGAGGTAACGAGTTCCGGCTAAGTTTATAACAAATTTCTATAAAACTCCAGGAGAAGACGTGGAAACCGGCCACCCTGGGCACTAAGTACCTCGGAGACCGTTGCCGTCGTATTATTCGTGTGCGGCGACCCCAAAAACCCCCCAATGGCAAAATTGAACTCATTTCCGTCAATATTTTCCAAGTTATAAATTTTTCATTTTTTAAGTCTTCGCGATGCAATTTTAATTTCTCATTGATCACATAGGGTCACAAACTTTCTGGACGTTCTAACGAATCGAATGCAAGAAACTGCATCACGATCCATCTTACTGCACAGATTTCGAAGGTAAGGCCGTTTTTAGTGCTTTATTTCCTCGACTAACATTTAGTATACTAAAATAGGTATTTACAGAATGACAGATAAATAAATATCTTAATTTTTATTACAGAAATTAAAAAGTTCTGAAGGAAACAAAGCTTTAAGGAAAATATTAGAAAGAAGAAATTAAACAAAATTGTCTAGCTTCAGTCGAGTCACCTTGTATACATAACATCTTTCCATACAGACAATTAAAAATAAGAATCAATAACCTTTTAATAAATTCATGAGCTACTTTTCATACTCGTAAATAGCTTTTTTACCTTTTCCTCTTTATCTAACACTTCATTATTTGATTCCTGTCCTAGATTAGTCACATTAAAACAACCATTTTGTTCGATTTTCCCTTCAGTACAACTCAGTACTATTTTTTCAGTTTCTGTTAGTATCCCTGTACAGTTTGGCTGATCCTTTAGTTTTCGTACTTGATATTTTTTAGTTTCCCGTTTGTTATTTTCGGTTTCTCTAAATGCATCAAAATAATCACCAATATGAAATGCGTATCTATTATTTACGAAATCTTTGAGTGTATGAAGAATAAATAGCCATTCCGGTCTGTTGACATCGGTTCTATAATTTTCAACTAGAAATATAAACAGGTTATGTGCTACTACTATTATTCCATAGACAAAAAATTACTAAAAGCCATGTAGTGAATTTTTGTGTAGGTACTTTTGAATAAATAGGATTAAGTGTTACTTTTGTGGCGAGCAAATTTTGTATTTACGAGGAGAAACGTAGTGTAGCCGAGTGGATGCAAAATTGCGAGACAAAAAAGACACTTTTAATCCGAATAAAACATGCCATTTTTGATCCTACCGAAATCCCCCATTTAATTATTAATTCGTACTTTGAAATTATTCAAACCAAATTTGGATAATAAAGCAAAGTAGGTAAGTAGGAAATATCAATGTAGTCATGGATACTTTGTCAAACATTAGTCGCCATATTTGAGTTCATTTGTGATTATTTGTGGTTCAGTTTGCTAAAAACTCTGTAAGAATGGAATCTAATGAAGATTTAGATGTATCCGAGGAGATACTGGAATGTGCGGAAGATGTTTCTTGGTACCTTCTCCTAAAGAAATCTCGAGAAATTTATGAATGTGTCTACCAACGTTTTATGGATTGGGGCAAAGAAAAAACATTATTGATGGTGTATTTCACAAACTTAGCAAATAAAATGAAGCCGTCAACGCTTTGTTCACAATATTCAATGTTGCGGTCAACGTTGGATATAAAGATGGGGATTGATATAAGCAAATAATCAAAGTTACGTGCTTTTATTAAGACACAAAATGAGGGATATGTACGGAAAAAATCGCGAATATTTACAAAGGAGCAAGTTGATTGCTTTTTTAATAGTGCATCTGACAATTTATATTTGACGACGAATGTAAACGCTTTAGAAATAAAAGAATTAAATTTTGAAAGAGCTTCTTTATAGGTCGTCCTAATATTGGAGGTTGCAGGCGCATGCCGTTCTGATGAATTAGTCAATTTAACAATTGATAATGTTGAAGATGTGAAATCCGCCTTAATTATAAAAATTCCCAATACCAAAGCCAAGAGACCATGTTCTTTTACTGTCCTGGGAAACAATTTATTTAAGTTTTTATCGAAATTATGTTACTTTACGTCCAGCCGGATTGGTAGAACGTCGATTATTTTTCAGAATGTTAGTGTCATTGAATGGTAGTCACAAAATCAGTGCCGTCTCGCAAGAAGCAACAACATTTTTGAAGCCGGACAAATGGAAAGAGTACATTGAACACACATTACGACGAACGTCTGCTACCCTTTTAGTTGAGAGCGGTGGTGACCTCACTTGTCTTAAAAGACACGGAGGATGAAGATCGAACACTGTGCCGGAAGGCATTGAAGACTCACTTTTGAATAAAGAAAATATTGCGAAAAGAATACTGAAAGTTGATTGTATTGGATTGCTTTGAGAATTGTTCCAAGAATGAGGGTAATGGCAGTGTCAATCTAAGGATTAAAAGTGTCAACTTTAGCTCCTAGGGTTAAAAGTGAATACTTTTGTTGCTAAGATGCCATTTTTTTTCTCAGTAAAGAAAAAGTCAATGTTAAAGACTTCTGGCAGTAAAAAATGTCATAGTTGGTTGGAGAAAACTGCACTTTTGCACCATCGTATCGAATGTATTTACCTGTGTTATAGCAGGCTAGAGCTACAGACAAATTTTTAGGAGTCGTTAGTCCAACACAAGCCTCATTCAATATTTCTGTGCACACAGATTGCTTTTCATTTTCTGCTGTGATCAATTGGAAGCATCCAGGCTGTTCTTGTTTTTCCTTCAGAACCATACACTCCAACAGAATGGTCTCGTTGCTTTCTAAGGTAATACCAAGACAACTAGTTTTTGGTACCCAGTAAGAGTAAGTGTCCAAACTACTGGATGAATCTAAATTATTATTGAATACTTCATATTTAAGATTGAGTAAAGCAGAATTTTTTCCTATATATTCATTCTCAAGGTAACTTTTAACAAACCATCGGAACTTCTTTTGCCTTTCATAATTGTAGTAAACATATTCCACTAAAAATAACATAAGTCATGTTAACAGTTAGGAAAATGCTTCAATACTCACTAGATTCTGAACAGAAGAAACATTCGAACAAAACAGTCAAATTACTTGGTGTAACTACTCCTATGCACCTTTCCTCCACTTTCTTTTGACAAACGGTGTGTATTTGATTATCTGGAGTGTGTAGATAAAAACAGTTCTTCTGGATAGGCTTCTGACTTTGATCAGGACAGTCTAATACTAACACCTCATTGTTTTGAGTCATTAGTGCAGTACATCCTCCCGTCATACCAAACACACAACTGTTACGAATAGTTTTACTTAAACAGTTATAGGGAGTTACCACTTCTGTTGAGTTATATACCTTATAGCAGCTTCTAGCTTCTGCGTCTAACGAAAAATGGTTTACGAAGTCAACGTAGACTTGTCTTTCTATAGCATTAGCAGCAGTTCTGCAGAAGGAATCGTAGAATATGATGGTAAAATTATCTGGCGTTGTGATACCCACCCCATGACCTTCAACTGATTCCTGGCATACGATGCTTACATTTTGATTGGCGTCGTATACTTCGAAACACTTATCAAATCTGATATGGGAGGTGCATCGAAACATTACCGTCTCATTTGTGGGTGTTACAAGCCCGATACATTCGTGATCGCCTGACACCCATTCGATGCAGGATTGATTTTCAAAGTTCGCTTCTCTCCTGCAAGACGATATCAAATCATTGCGATGGTATAACTGGTAACAGTCTCCCGGTACAGGAATAAATCTAAAAGTGTCTAAGTAGTTTGGTCGCCAACCAGGAATATCTGCAGAACACGTTCCTACAATTTTCTTTGTATAATTATAACAAAACTTAAATGTGTGCTAAACATACCTCGAATAAATATCGCAGTTAGTAATAATTTGGTGCTAGAATGTAAGTCCATTACTAAGTAAATGTTTTTATAAATTGCGATCTATATGAAACATATTTATATTGATACAAAATGAGTGATCTTTTGAGCACTTGATAACCTAATGTTACCAAAAATAATAATAATAATTTCTGTCTCCAAGCATTTGATAAGCAATTCCTCCTAAAATATGTTATTAAGCATTGTACAAACGTCTCAATGAAAATATTTTTTAAGTTAAAAGTTCTATAAACTACGAATTTGATATAATTGCTTCATTACCTTACCTTCGTTACTTTTTGCAGAATATACTGACGTTTTTCTATGATCCAATCCATTCAATCAAATTTCTTAAGGCCTTATATTAATTTTAAGATTTAATTATAATTAGAAAATATATCAATTTAAAAGCCATATGGTTATTTTTTACATATCATATCAGTTCTTTTTTTGTAACTTTAATATTCCATGCCATAACTTTTAACAAGCATTGATATGATTTCAAACAAACCACTTTCCATATATAATATTTCCGTAGAATATCGCCTTTCTTCTTTGAATAATATTTTTACTAATGTATTCAGAGTTCCTTCTTTATTTAGTATTTTGCTGCATATTAGATGTTGGACTAAATGATATAAATTTCGTTTTATCAATATTTAAACTTAACAAACTATATTATTGAGCCAGTTCTATATGATTTGAATATCTTGCCAGGGGTCACCAGAAAAAATAATTGCCCTATCATCAGCATAAGAAATTAATTGACCTATCATATTAATCAAAAATATTATTTTTATATACCGAGTGATTCAGTTTAGTATTCGCGGCCCTGTATCTCTTTTATTTTAACAAATACCTATGACAAACCCTATATATTTTTAAATCGCCCTACAAACTCTATCAAATGACATTATTAGATCGTCTCCATAGTAACATATGTCAAAATTGCTATAGTCAACTGTTTTTATTCAAATGGCACACTATATATTTTTTGATCAATTCTGAAAGATATTTTTTTTCTGCGTTCAGCAGTGTAAGGAAGTCTATAGTTTCATCAGAAATATTGCTAGAAAAACAGCAAAAAAGAATAACCCTACTTTTCGTAGCTTTATTCTGAAAAATGATACCAGCTGCGGAAACAAGTTATTATGTTTTCTAAAGTAACACATTTTATTTATAATACGATAATAATATACGAGTAACAATTTAAAACAATGCTTATTTCAAATGTTTAAAATGAGCTCCATTTGCTTCCAAACACAGTATTCTGTTTATCACTGCCTCTCTACAAACACATTCTATTGTTTCTTCATTTAATCTCCGACATTCTACTCTTATTGTGTTTTTAAAATAAATATCTTTTAGGTAAGGTCAAAGAAATGAATCTATAGGAGTGAGACCCGGAGATCTAGCAGGCCATTTAACATCTTTATTGAATGTTCTTCATCTCTTGTCCTTCCGAGTTTAAAAACTCTTCTTTTGAAAACTTCCATCTGCCGCCAAATTCCTGGCTAACTTTTCGAAATTTTTTTCTGATGGAAGTTGTTTCTGCGGGAAACGATGTTGGCACCTATAAATAATACCTGGCAGCTTTAGCGTTCTTTCAGCCTTCTCCATAAATTAAAATCATATCTAGTTTTTCTTGGTTACTGTAAGTATTCATGTTATAATTATTAGTTATAGATATAATAGGTAGGTACAAAATGTCAATTATTTTGACAAACCGTTATTTAGAAACGTTAAAATTCAATTGTTTCCGCAGCTGGCTATCATTTTAAAAATAAAGCTAATGAAAGTAGAGTACATCTTTTTTGCTGTTTTTCTAGCAATATTTCTAATGAAACTATAGACTTCCTTATATAGCTGAACGCAGAAAAAAGATATCTTCCAGAATTGATAAAAAAATATATAGCGTGCCATTTAAACAAAAACAATAGACTATAGAAATTTTGACACATGTTACCATGGAGACGATCTGATAATGTCGTTTGACAGAGTTTGAGCGGCGATTTAAGAATATATAGGATTTGATATAACTATTTGTTAAAATAAAAGAGATGCGAGGCCGCGAATATCAAACTGAATCACCCGGTGTATTAAAAATAATATGGGTCCTAAAACAGTTCCTTGAGGACGCCCATGGAAACTGTTAAGCTGTCGCTGAAAGTGCTGTTAATTTTAACAATTTGCTTCCTGTCTGTCAAATAATCCTTAAATATTTTCCATGCAACACCTTTAATTCCGAGTTTTTCTAACCTTTGTAATAAAAACTCATTACTAACGCCTTAGCTAAGTCCAAAAATACTACTATAATTTTTTTTGTTCATTAAAATTGTTTACAACAGAATTAAGCTCAAACACAGCATTTGCAGTAGATACGAGTGATTGTTGAGAAACAAATACATCCATATGTTACTGTTTGGTACGGATTTTAGGCTGCAGTGCATCCTCGGGCCATTCTTTTTTGAAAATGTGACTGATCAGGCAAGCTGCTGATAATCCAATTTTTTGTACCTAAATTGCACAATATGGATGTAGACGGATTTGTATTGAGTAAAATGTAATTTTAAAGTCTGAGTTATCTTTTGAGAACTGCTGATTTTCATAAAAAGTGTTCGATGTAGCCATCATTTGCTTGCACACAAGCTTCAGCGCGACGTATCCAATTCGCTCGCACGCGTTGCAACATTGCCACATCCTCTCGAATCGTATTACAAGCTTCGGCAATACGATATCGCAGTTGGTCGATGTCACGAACTTCAGTGGAAAACACAACACTTTTCACATATCCCCATCCGGGGATGGTGGGGGGATCTAACTAGGCTGCCGCGGACTATCCAGCGATCGGGAAAAATAATGTTTAAAATTCGCGCTCTCTCCGAAAAAAGTGAGCGGGATGCAGTAACCACATATTTTGCCGAACATTTAATGGCACCTCTTCCAATAACTTCGGCAAACGATTTTGCAAAAAATCTATATATGAAGCACCGTCTAAGCGTCTAAGCAATTCAAAAGGTCCTATTAAAGTGTCATTAACGATACCGGCCGACATGTTCAGTGAAAACTGTTGCTGAAAGGCACCGCGACGTATTTCGTGTGGATTTTCGAAAGTCCAGTGTTGTGGACGTTACGTACACCATTTCGACTGAAACATGCTTCATCTGTAACAAGTATTTGCACTGTAAATTGAGAATTTCTTGCATGTTCCTGACGCAACCATTCGCAGAAACCTCAACCTAGTAGAAAATCCTCAGGAGTAAGTGCTTGAACACGTTTAATATGAAATGGGTACAACTGAGCTTCTCGTAATGTCCGCCACACAACAGGATGCGAAATATTTACTTGCTGTGCGATATTTCTGGTGCTACGTTGCGGTTCATCTTCGGCGAGATGTAAAATCATCTCCTCGACATTTAAGATTCTTAGAAGTCGCCCTGGACTACCGTCGCGACCTCGACGCGGTTGTACTTCACCGGTGTCCTACAGCAACAAATGTTCGCGGTACATTTTCGTTTGCTTCACCATAAATTATGAGCATATCATAATATTCGCGACTGCTAAATAAATGCGCCGTTTTCTAAAGAAAATAATTCAATGTATTCTCGAAAAACAGCACAGCAATCACTACAACAATGTATTACAAACTGACTCTCAAATACAGTCCGATTTCTGTAATGAACCTGTATTAATTTCAAGTTTTATGCAAGGCCGTTGGCCAGTTATTTATTTAATTAGTTTAATTGGGTGAGAGCAATTAACCGCGAGTCGAGCCGAACCGTCCGTTTGCCACACTCTGACGAGTGCCGCGCGCATAATCCCACCAAGACTCCTGGTCAGTTAAGGGGGGGATTGAGGCAATAAAACCACCGTTCCTGGACGAAAACAGGCAGTTCGCTGCCAGAACTCGAAGAACTCTAACGCCAACCCGAGGACCACCCCGAGGACCTGAACACCGACCAGAGACCGCCACCCGACCCAAGGAGTTAGCCGCCAGAAGCAACCGTCCGGAATAAGTAAGCAAATTGTATTTTCCTATTTTCACTTGTCCTGCTATGGTATAAGGTATAAGGTACGACCACAGCGTTGTCGGCGAAGGTTTGGCTGGGTGCTCCACCGCCCTCGTTCGACGAACGTTGTCCGCCACGTCAACCGAACTGCTGGTTTGGATGGGTGCTCCACCGCCAGCGGAAGACGTTGAGTGCAGGTTCGTACGGCAGCAGCGTTATCGGCGACGGTTTGGCTGGGTGCTCTACCGCCTTCGTTCGACAAACGCTGTGAGCCCCTTTACTGAAACTGCTGGTTTGGCTGGGTGCTCCACCGCCAGTAGAAGAAGTTGTGTGTCGGCTGTGCAACGACGGATAGACCCTCGAAGTTTGGCTGTGCATCCCACCGCTTCTGGGAGAAATCTGTTGGCCGCCCCGCATTTGAACTCGCACCTCGCCCAGACTTTGCCTCCTTTTCACCAACACCATCATTTTCCTGATTACCATTTGCTTATTTATGCCCGTTGTAAACCGCTTTGCTTGGCTTTTTCTCCTGGCTGGTCGCATTTTCGCTTAATTTCCGTCGCTTTGCTAGAAACTACCGCCGATATTTATTTGTAGAATTAGAGTCACCCGTAATTATTTTTCTCTGTTTCAGAACCATTGAGGACAATTTATTTATTGACTTTTTATTGCTCTAATTTATTAACCTTATTTTTCCCTTTTTAGCACCGACCGAAATTTAAAACCGAACATTATTTTGGCGTACCGCTTCTTAAAGTATTAGACCGTATTATACCGCTTTTCTACCGTACAGATTTTATGTCCTGATCTTTGACTATGTGCTAATTTTGTATTTATTTACAGCACCGAAAAACCGCATCGGCATTTTAAATCCGTCGTAATAATAATTGCTCTAACCCATTTTATTTCATTCGCACTGCGCACAAATTAATTGTATATTCCTGGTTTTAGTTAGTGATAATAATTGTAATTAGAATCTATTTTACTTTTGCTTGTT